TACAATTTCTGTACTAGGGATACTAGATGTGTCGGTGTGGGATTTATTTATGTGAATTCAATCCAACCTTTAGAGGAGAAAAAGGAATACCAATAATTGTATGCCGAAACTCTTCTAATTAGTCCTTGAAGGGTAAGTGAAAATTTATCATGCATGTTTAGTAGCCATACTTGACCAATTGAAAATATTAGGTGACTTGATAACGAAAGGCTGAATATGGCATCAGCCTCCCTATTTAATAGTCAATAAATTTCAAATCAGCTAGCGGTGCAATAAGGTAGACGAATCTGCTTTGGACTGTAGAGAAATATTTTATGTGGGGGACCGGAAGAAAATGGGAATTTAAGGAAACGATAATATTAATATATAAAGACAGAATATAATGAAATAAATAAATATAAAATTCCTTCCTTTGTCTTTATGGTTAAAAGAAAACAATGATGAGAGAATGAATCTCATCATAACCAAAATATCAGATATAAAATAATGGGATATGCTGTGTTTCAAAATTTGGTGAGGACTGATATGCAGCTTTCTTTGTGTTTACCCTCCTTGCAGAGTGTCCTAATATAAATGCATTATAAGTCACGATATTAGCATTTACCTTCTTGGCTGTACCCTTGTATCAAAGTATTGTAAGTTACGGTATCGGAAGCAACATTCACGGCTTTCATCTCACTAAAAATCAAGGTCCGGCCCTTTGGGTTCAGGAATTGTTCTGTGGGGTATGGGAAGTGGGTTCCAATTCTTTTTTTCCAAATTTCCCAGAAATTCTTGGGTTTGTAAAGGCAGGTTCTTTTGCAATTGAATTGGACAAACTAGAAAACTGACGAAATAAGAACTTAATAAGTTATTGGATCAATCTGAGGGTTAAGTGGGGTGTATGTAAATTAATACTTAATCTGAGGGTAGTTTGGGAAGATAGTGGGGTTTTCTTAAAAATTGTGAAAATTTGAATTAAAAATTGAGGTGAACTTAGAACGTGGGGTGAACAAAGAGAAGTGTGGGGTTTAAATAGAAAAACTCAAAAATAATAATGATAATATAAGTCAGCATTTATTCCTAAAATGGTGGGATATACTGTGTTTTAAAATTGTGGGATTTCAAACTAAGAGTATTCATTTTTTCAAGGGGGATAATTAGCCTAAAAATTAGCTAAACCTTATCAGCACTTTCAAATTTCTAAGTGTGGCTTGCTTCATCTGTCTCGTCTTGTTTTGCCTATATAAAGGTGACAACAAAAAAATAAAAGGGAGAAAAAAGAGAAAAGGAAAGAAGAGGCTGTGGTAGAGTCTCTACAAAAAGAGAGGAAAATACAAGTGGCTGGTTTTCTTTGTTGAAGTGAAAGCACAGAGGCTCAGACAAAGCAAAACGATGGTGGCCAGTAAAGAAGAAAAGGAAAAGACGCCAGCCAAAAGAAAAATGAGTAAAAAAATAATTAAAATAGGGAAAATAGGGCTGGCACCTCTTCGTAGCTTGCGGCAGCCTATTTGTTTGTTTTTCATCCTTTTGCTTGCGAAAGCTCTGTACCAATTGTGGCTTTTTGTGTAATCTTTCAAAGGCTTAAGAGATATATAGTGATTGCTCTCAATTTGGATTGGTCACAAGTATTCCAGATAAGATAAATACGGGAGTGTAAGGTTTGGTTTTACTTGGAAATAAACTCTAGAAGAGTTCAATAGCTATCGGGTTGGCTTCAATCGGCTGCTGGGTACCAAGCTTTTCTGATGTGGACTCCTTGTTCATGGGCTAACTTATAACAAATATCAAAGACCCGAAACAGATGAGTCATCTACCTATGAAAATCTTAAAATCTCCAAATTGTCTTAAAGACACAAATTTTAAATTAGTGGGCCACACTTACCCATTAATTTTCAATTTTTTGAACTGCGTTGGTTTGATCCTGTCAAGGGTACCTAGACAGTCTACCATCCCAATAGACGCAACCGAAACTAAATTTGAATCCCTAGTTTATCCTAACCAAATTCTCCCAAACACTTTTCCAAACTTCTGAACTATGTTGGTTTGATCTCTTCAAAAGGGTACGTAGGCAATCTAGAGACTCAATCTAGATGCAACTGCCCAAATCTTAAATCCAAACAGAATCCCTAGTTTATTCTTAACCAAATTCATCCCAAACACAATTCCATATTGAATCTCTTGTTGATGCGGCTAAATTCACTCAAACACTCCTCAATACAATTCAAATCAAATTTTCATTGCAATGAGTCATTTATTCATTGCAGTTCTTTGAACAACGAGTGGCTTGATTCCCACAAGGGATACGTAGGCACCTGAGGTTCGACTTAGTAGCAGTCGCAAAATCAAACATACATGTTCTGTTTCTTCATGATGTAATCAAAGCGGGTGTTCTCTTGAAGCAAAAAATTGTAATTAAGAGACACCGCGTCTCGAATAGGTCAAATCTAAAATAATAAAACCCCATTATTTAAATAGTGGTAGTGAAATTATGTTGGAAGGTTCACATTTTTTCTTCAGCATAATTTTTGGCACGCTCGGTGGGATCCATTTTCCTTTTCATCTCCAATCATAAAGTGACTAATGTTTTTATTAATTTGTGTTTGCTATAGGTTAACAAAACCCGATAAACAATGGCACCACAAGTTACAATTTTCTTCCACAAGATCAAAACTACTAGGAATGCGTGCACCAAACGGGTAGGCTTCAGAAAAAATTTCGTTGTTTGTGAGATCTTAAAAATAGTTTGGACTTCAATACCAAACAAGTTTTTAGATCTTTAAATCACTATTTGAAAACTCATGTTTTTAAAAAGATCATAGTTTTTTAGTTTACTTTTTTGAGTAGGATACCAAACAAGGCCTTAATGTTTTAAAATTGAAAAGAAATTATAACGTTTGATCTTGATTGTTTATTGATGGGTTTGTATTTGGGTGTATGAGCATGAAGATTGGGCAAAGGGAGAGAGAGAAAGAAGAGGAGGGAAGGGAGGAGAGGTTGGCTTGTGGTGAAGAGGTACTGGGTTGCAGCCCGTGCTGTGAGGTTGGTTGGGCCGTAGGTGGGTTGTTGTGGTTGATTGGCTGATTTTTATTTTTTATTTTTTATTTTATTTTATTTTTAGACTTTTTTTTTAGTAATATTTTATTTAGACTTAACAATGTTAAGTTGGTGTTGGATGTGCCATTTCTTAAGTCATTAGATTATCCGATCAAGATTTAGGAAAATGCGTAATATCCTAATGCAGAGGCTCAAGATTCAAAAAGAGTATATTATTTATATTAAAAAAATAGGCACTTGATTTTTTTTAAAATAGGTACATTAGTTATTAAAAACATACTTACATATGTAGGTCCAAAAAATAGGTACGTTATTTATTTAAAAAAAATTAGGTAGATTATTCATAAAAAAAAAAAGGTATACTATTTAGGTACAGTAATTTTTGTTGTAGTATGTATGTTGTTTAAATAAATAAATAAATAAATAAATAAATAAAATAAACATAAAAATAATAACAAACGTGTGGGCTTCAGTTTTCATTGTGGGTCGGGTTTCACTTTAGTTTGGGTTTCAAAGTGGGTTAAATTTACCGTGGTTTGTGTTTCGAAATTGTGGGCTTTGGGCTTCAAAATTTTTTTGGGTTTCAGAATTGTGTGATTAGGGTTTACTGTTTCATTCCTTCCAGCTGCTTGGTTCTCTGCATTTCTAATACAAGATTAGTCCAAGAATTGTCTCCAACATGGTATTCCAAAACATTCCATTCAGGTTTCCACATATGTATGGTCTAACAGCCATACTTGACAAATTAAACATACAAGGTGACTTGATGATGAAAGGCAGTCAGTCATTCTGTAAATAGCCAAAGTTAAAATCAGCGCTGCAAAATATCAATGAAACATTTAAAAAGAAAACTCATCACCCCTTGAAAGCATCATTTGAAAATTTTCTTTTGGTTTTTAGAACAATCTTATAATTAATTGTTACTTGAAAAATTCATTGCTCCTTGCATGGTGTTGGATTGCGTCACCGATATCAAAGAGTTCTGTTAGGCTCATCCCCGTCAGTCTGTGTTGAAAGGACTTGGAAAACTAGGAAATCAAATTTGAGTTTTAAATTGTCATATATCTTATTTCCTGCCATTGTTCATAACTTGAGCATCGAGAATCAGACTTCCACCCATAAAAGAAACTGGTTCTTGTCCAGTCAAGAAATCAACAAAGGACCACCCCAGACCTATAAACGTCACTCTTCTCAATGAACAAAGGAAAACAGAAGGTGACTTTATTTTAGACCATGATTTTATAATGCAGTACTAGTCGTCCTCATAATTTTCAAATTCAAATCAGGCTTACAAAATATCAGTCAAAGAAACAATATATAAGTTGCTAGGTTCTCAACTTTGTTAATATCTATGCTTAAAAAGATTGTTCGTTACATGATGTGGGATTTCATGAGTGTATGGAGAAAGCTTTAGCTCACTAAGAAAAACTACATTAACAAAATTTGAGTTTTAATTGAGGGTTTAATCATATGTGACCAAGATGTTAAAGTTAATGTTTAATTCCTTGTTGTAACTCTAAGACAAAATGTGCTCGAGCATATTTTCTAGTATAGAAAGAGCTCGAGCGTGTTTTGGTAGAGACTTTGTTTGACGTGTTTTTTAGGAAGCCAAGTTGCTTATGATATTTTGTAAGGCTAGATATTATTAACTTTTACTTTAGTTGGCAAGGGTTGATGTGTGTGAAAACGGTGTACTACACACAACTCCTTTATATGTATCAAGAGAGAAAAACTCTCTTAATTAAGAAAATTAAGCAATCAAAAATATCAGAAAAATATCTCTGAGACCCGAGCTAGAAAAAAGACCTCTGAGTTCATCTTGTTTCCATTATTCTCTTCTCTCATCTTGCATAAAATCCAACACAACAAACAGAGCTAGAAAATTTCCTTACAGATATGGTGATAGTCTAAAAGATGATTCAAAGTCCAAAAACCGAGAATATATAATTACAACAAATATTGGTTCACTGTGTATTGAAAAACAATAGTGGTTGTACATCGAATGAAGAACCTGTACCGCCATCCGTACAAGGACCTGTTGATGTAGAAACAACATCCCAAACCTCATTTATTTCCTGAGTTTGGACACATCGGACCCCTGGGAAAACTTGTTGAACATCAGAGTCAGCTCTAACTGACAGTTGAATTCCCTCCAACTCCACTGCTACTTCTTTCATAGTAGGACGATTCCTTCTATTCAAATTCAAGCATCTAACAGCAAGGTTAGCAACTGCTGTAATCTTTTCCTTTCTACCATCCTTCATAACTTGAGAATCAAGAATATTAAATAGAAGATTATTCTCCATGGAAAGCAGGAAATAAGTTGCTAGACTTCTGCTTTCTTGTGAACTCATCAAAGAAACTGCTTTTTGTCCAGTCAAGAGCTCAGCAAGGACCACGCCAAAGCTATAAACGTCGCTCTTCTCTGTAAATTGGCTTGATTGGAAGTACTAGTCAAACAATATGGGTAGAATATTTTCAGATATATTTCATTCTCCGAAAGGAGGTATTTATAATACAGGTTACAAACCCTAGTAGGGTTTAATTAGGAAATAAGTGGAATCCTAATTACATAATATCTATACAAAAGGAAAAATAAATAAAACCCAAATAGAATAGGATATATTCTACTCGTCGACACTCCCCCTCAAGTTGGAGCAAAGACGTCACGCATGCCCAACTTGTCAAGCGAGTTGAGAAAGATACTTGTAGAAACAGCTTTCGTAAGAACATCAGCTAACTGATACTCTGAACGGATGAAGGGGAAGGACACAATCTCCGCATCCAACTTTTCTTTAATGAAATTTCGATCAACCTCCACATGTTTTGTACGGTCATGTTGTACAGGATTATGAGCAATTGCAATCGCAGCCGTATTGTCACAATTTAAATTCATGGGTTTATTAGGTCCAAAACCAAGGTCTTTCAACAATCTCCTCAACCATAGTAACTCAGATACACCATGGGCCATTCCCCGATACTCGGCCTCAGCACTAGATCTAGACACCACCTTTTGTTTCTTGCTCCTCCACGTAACAAGATTGCCACCCACAAACATAAAATACCCAGATGTCGAACGCCTATCTGTGGCTGAACCTGCCCAATCATCATCTGTATACCCTTCTACATTCGTATGGCCATACTTGGAGAAAATTAACCCCTTGCCAGGAGTTACTTTCAGATACCTTAAAATACGAGTCACAGCCCCCATATGATCCACACTAGGAGAGTGCATAAACTGACTCACTATATTTACAGCATACGCAATATCTGGACGAGTATGAGCCAAATAAATCAACTTCCCCACAAGTCGTTGATAACGTTCTTTATCAGTCGGAACTTGATCGGGATATATCCCCAACTTATGATTCTGCTCACTAGGGGTATCAATCGGTTTACAATCCAACATTCCAGTTTCTGCAAGTAAATCCAAAACATACTTTCTTTGGGATAGAAAAATACCATGTTTAGATCTGGCAACTTCAATCCCAAGAAAATACTTTAAATCACCCAATGATTTCATCTCGAACTCAGAAGCCAGATACTTCTGAAGACTCTGTATCTCTACATGATCATCTCCAGTCACAATCATATCATCAACATAAATAATTAAAGCCGTCAATTTACCTTTATGACGCTTCAGAAACAAAGTATGATCAGAGTTACTTT